GGTTAGGCAGGTGAGTGATCGGTTAGGTGGGTGAGTGATGGGGTTGGCGGGTGAGTGATCGGGTTGGTAGGTTAGTGATCGGCTAGGCGGGTGGGTGATCGGGTACGTAGGTGAGTGATAGCGTAGGCGGGTCAGTGATTGGGTAGGCAGGTGGGTGATCGAGTTGGCAGTTGAGTTTTGGAATAGGTGGGTGAGTGATCGTTTAGGCGCTTGAATTATCGGATAGATGGTGAGTGATCGGGTAGGCAGGTGAGTGATGGGATAGGCAGTTGAGTGATCGGTAAGGTGGGTGGATAATTGTGTAAGGTGAGTGGGTTATCCGGTAAGCTCCTGGGTGAATGGGTAGGTGAGTGAGTGATTGGGTAGGTGGGTGAGTGATCGGGTAGTTTGGTGAGTGACCAGATAGCCGAGCGAGTGATCGGTAAGGTGGATGGGTGATCTGGAAGGTGGGTGGGTGATCCGGTAAGCGCGTGAGTGATTGGTTAGGTGGGTGATTGATTGGGTAGGCGATTGAGTGATCGAGTATGCGGGTGAGTGATCAAATAGGCGGGTGATTGATCGGTTAGGCAGATTGGTGATTGGGTAGGTGGGTGGGTGATCCAGTAGGCGCGTGTGTTATTGGGTAGGTTGGTGAGTGATTGCGTAGTTGAGTGTGTGATCGTGTAGTCGAGTTGGTGATCAGGTAGGCACTTGGGTGATCGGGTAGGCGGGTGAGTGATCAGGTAGGTGGTTGGGTGATCAGGTAGGCACTTGGGTGATCGGGTAGGCGGGTGAGTGATCGGGTTAGCGGTTGGGTGATCAGTTAGGCACTTGCGTGATCGAGTAAGCGGATGAGTAATCGGGTTGGCGGGTGAGGGATTGGGTAGGTGAGTGAGTTATCGGTTCGGCGGGTGAGTGATCAGATAGCCGAGCAAGTGATTGGTTAGGCGAATGGGTAATCTGGAAGGCGGGTGGGTCATCCGGTAAGCACTTGGGTGATCGGTGGGCGAGTGAGTGATCAGGTAGGCGGTTGGGTGATCAGGTAGGCACTTGGGTGATCGGGTAGGCGGGTGAGTGATCAGGTATGCGGTTGGGTGATCAGGTAGGCGAGTGAGTAATCGGGTAGTCAGGTGGGTAATCAGGAAGGCACTTGGGTGATCGGATAGGCAGGTGAGTGATCAGGTAGGCGATTGGGTGATCAGGTAGCCACTTGGGTGATCGGGTAAGCGGGTGACTGATTGGGTAGGCGGATGAGTGATCGGGTAAGCGGGTGGGTGATCGGTAATGCAGGTGGGTGATCAGTTGGGCAGGTGCATGGTTGGCCAGGTTGGTGAATTATTGGGTAGGCGGGTGATTGATCGGTTAGGCGAGTGAGTGATGGGGTCGGCGGATGAGTGATGGAGTAGGTACGTTAGTGATCGGCTAGGTGGGTGGGTGATCAGGTAGTTGGGTGAGTGATAGGGTAGGCGGGTGAGTAATCCGGTAGACAGGTGGGTGATCGGGTATGCGGTTGAGTGTTCGAATAGGTGGGTGAGTGATCTTTTAGGCGCGTGAATGATCGTATAGGTGGTGAGTGATCGGGTAGGCAGGTGAGTGATCGGATAGCCTAGCAGTGATCGGTTAGGTGGATGGGTGATCTGGAAGGTGGGTGGCTAATCCGGTAAGCGCCTGAGTGATTGGTTAGGTGGGTGAGCGATTGTGTAGGCGGTTGAATGATCGGGTATGCGGGCGGGTGATCCGGTAGGCGCGTGTGTGATTGGGTAGGTTGGTGAGTGATTGCGTAGGCGAGTGAGTGATGGGGTAGTCGGGTGGGTGATTAGGTAGTCACTTGGGTGATCGGGTAGGCAGGTGAGTGATCAGGTAGGTGGTTGAGTGATCAGGTAGGCACTTGGGTTATCAGGTAGGCGAGTGAGTGATCGGGTAGTCGGGTGGGTAATCAGGTGGGCACTTGGGTGATCGGGTAAGCGGGTGACTGATTGAGTAGGCAGATCAGTGATTGGGTAAGCGGGTGGGTGATCGGTTATGCAGGTGGGTGATCAGTTGGGCAGGTGCGTGATCGGCCAGGTTGGTGCATTATCGGGTAGGCGGGTGAGTGATCGGTTAGGCGGGTGAGTGATGGGGTCGGCGGGTGAGTGATTCGGTTGGTAGGTTAGTGATCGGCTAGGCGGGTGGGTGATCGGGAAGTTGGGTGAGTGATAGGGTAGACGGGTGAGTGATCGGGTAGGCAGGTGGGTGATCGGGTATGCGGGTGAGTGTTCGAATAGGTGGGTGAGTGATCGTTTAGGCACGTGAATGATCGGATAGGTGGTGAGTGATCGAGTAGGCAGGTGAGTGATCGGATAGGCAGGTGAGTGATCGGTAAGGTGGGTGGGTGATCGGGTAGGGTGGGTGGGTTATCCGGTAAGCTCCTGGGTGAATGGGTAGGTGGGTGAGGGATGGGTAGGCGGGTGAGTGATCGGGTAGGCGTGTGAGTTACCAGATAGCCGAGCGAGTGATCGGTTAGGCGGATGGGTGATCTGGAATGTGGGTGGGTGATCCGGAAAGCGCGTGAGTGATTGGTTAGGTGGGTGAGTGATCGGGTAGGCTGTTGAGTGATCGGGTATGTGGGTGAGTGATCAAATAGGTGGGTGATTGATCAGATAGGCGGATTGGTGATCGGGCAGGTGGGTGATCCGGTAGGCGCATGTGTGATTGGGTAGGTTGGTGAGTAATTGTGTAGGCGAGTGAGTGATCGGGTTTTTGGGTGGGTGATCAGGTAGGTGGTTTGGTGATCAGGTAGGCACTTGCGTGATTGGGTAAGTGGGTGAGTGATTCGGTAGGCGGGTGAGTGATCGTGTAGGCGGGTGAGTAATCAGATAGCTGAGCGAACGATCGGTTAGTCTAATGTATGATCTGGATGGCGGGTGATTGATCTGGTAAGCACGTCCATGATTGGGTTGGTGGGTGAGTGATCGGGTAGGCAGGTATGTGATCGGGTAGGTGGGTGATCCGGTTGGCGCGTGTGTGATTGGGTAGGTTGGTGAGTGATTGTGTAGGTGAGTGAGTGATCGGGTAGTCGGGTGCGTGATCAGGTAGGCACTTGGGTGATCGGGTAGGCAGGTGAGTGATCAGGTAGGCGATTGGGTGATCAGGTAGGCACTTGGGTGATCGGGCAAGCGGATGACTGATTGGGTAGGCGGATGTTGATGATCGGGTAAGAGGGTTGGTGATCGGTTATGCAGGTGGGTGATCAGTTGGGCAGTTGCGTGATCGGCCAGGTTGGTGAATTATTGAGTAGGCGGGTGAGTGATCGGTTAGGCGGGTGAGTGATGGGGTCGGCGGGTGAGTGATCGGGTAGGCGGGTGAGTGATCGGGTAGGCAGTTGGGTGATCAGGTTGGCGGGTGAGTGTTTGAATAGGCGGGTGAGTGATCGTTTAGGCGCATGAATGTTCGGATAGGTGGTGAGTGATCGGGTAGGCAGGTGAGTGATCAGATAGGCAGGTGAGTGATCGGTAAAGTGGGTGGGTAATCGGGTAGGGTTTGTGGGTTATCCGGTAAGCTCCTTGGTGAATGGGTAGCTGGGTGAGTGATTGGGTAGGTGGGTGAGTGATCGGGTAGGCGGGTGCCTCATCAGGTAGTCACTTCGTTGATTGGGTATGTGGGTGAGTGATTAGGTAGGCAGGTGAGTTATCGTGTAGGCGAGTGGGTTATCAGGTAGGCACTTGGGTGATCGGGTAGGCGGGTAAGTTGTTGGGTAGGCAGATGAGTGATTGGGTAGGCAGGTGAGTGATCGGGTCGGTGGGTGGGTGATCAGGTTTGCGGGTAGGTGATCAGTTAGGCAGGTGAATTCTCGGGTAGGTGCATGAGTGATCAGGTAGGCACTTGCGTGATTGGGTAAGTGGGTGAGTGATTGGGTAGGCGGGTGAGTGATCATGTAGGCGGGTGAGTGTTCGGGTTGGCGGGTGAGGGATCAGTTAGCCGAGCGAATGATCGGTTATGCGAATGGGTGTTCTGGAAGGCGGGTGAGTGATCCGGTAAGCACGTCCGTGATTGGATAGGTGGGTAAGTGTTCGGGTATGCAGGTATGTGATCAGGTAGGTGGGTGAGTGATCCGGTAGTCGCGTGGGTTATTGGGTAGGTGGGTGAGTGATTTGGTAGGCAGGTGAGTGATCGGGTAGGCGGGTGGGTCATCAGGTTGGCACTTCGGTGATTGGGTAGGCGGGTAAGTCATTGGGTAGGCAGATGAGTGATTGTGTGAGCAGGTGAGTGATCGGGTAGGTGGGTGAGTGTTCGGGTAGGAAGGTGAGTGATCGAATCGGCAGGTGAGTGATCGGTTAGGTGGGTGGGTGATCGGGTAGGGTGGGTGGTTCATCAGGTAGGCACTTCAGTGATTTGGATGGCGGGTGAATGATTGAGTAGGCGGGTGTGTGATCAGGTAGGCACTTCGATGATCGGTTAGGCGGGTGAGTTATTGGGTAGGCAAATTAGTGATTGGGTAGGCAGGTCGGTGATTGGTTAGGCAGGTCGGTGATCGGTTACGTGGTTGAGTGATCAGTTAGGCAGGTGGGTGATTAGCTAAGCAGGTGAAATATCGGTTAGGCGGTTGAGTGATCAGGTAGGCAGGTGAGTGATTGGTTAGGTTGGTGAGTGATGGCGTAGGCAGGTGAGTGATCGGGTAGGCAGGTGGGTGATCGAGTAGACGAGTGGGTTTCTCCATTGACATGTCCGATGGCCACATACATACGTATGATGCAGAACTCCTTTCCCACCATGCATAGCAAACCCTGCCAATTGGAGGTGCTGCAACCGCCGCCGCGTTGCGGCTCCATCTCTCTCTTCATCTCTGTCCCTCTTCATCTCTCTCTCTATTCATCTCTTTTTCTATCTATCTCCCTTTATATCTCTCTCTTTCCATCTCTCTCACTCCATCTCTCACTCGATCTCTCTCTCTCTCCATCTCTCTCTCTCTCCAGCTCTCTCGTCATCTCTCTCTCTCTCCATCTCTCTCTCTCTTTCTCCATCTCTCTCCCTCTCTCTCGCAGGAGCGTTCCTCATCCCCTACGTCCTCTTCCTCGTCATTGCTGGCATGCCGCTCTTCTACATGGAGCTGGCGCTGGGCCAGTTCAACCGGCAGGGAGCGGCCAGCGTCTGGAAGATTTGCCCCCTCTTCAAAGGTAAAGCCGAGGCCACGGCTGCACCGGTGGCCATGCAGGGTTGCTCGACTGGTGGCGTGTTGGTGCTGATATTCACCGGTTCGGGTCTGGCAGGCCGCTCCGATCAACGCCGCATGACTCCGCTCAGCCGCGAGATGCACCGTGCTAAACTAAAACTATCTTTCATTTTTAACCGCTATGGCCCTACTGAGCTAACCAGCTCATCACGTGAACATTTATATCAGCCAAAATACTCTGAACGCACGTTTCTTAATGTATTCTGTGATTGGTGCTCTGTACCGCAGCAGCAGCAGCAGCAGCAGATTCTGCTACAACATGTGCCTCAGCTACAGCAGCAGCTACAGCAGCTACAACAACAGCAGCTACAGCAGCAGCAGCAGCTTCTGCTACAGCAGCAGCTACAGCAGCAGTGATTCAACTGATGATGTACATGTACGTCATCGTACGTGTACATTGGAACTGAACCCGAAGAAAAATAAAATAAAATAACTTTATCGGTACTGAGGCATAGTGCCATGCGAGAGGGCGCGTGGCACAGTTTGTAGCCAGCTTTCAAAGAGTGGGGTCGTGTCGCGACAGTTCTCTGCGGTGAGTAGAATGTATTTTAAAACAACGGCGCTACGCCTCTCTAAGTACACGTAACGCTGAACCGCTTGTGCGCTCCGTGATTGGGTGGTGAACGGGACCCACCCCATGGTGGCGAGATGGTGACTCCGTCACTTGGTATGCAGGAGGTCGTGGGTTCGATCCCGACGCTGACGCCTGCTGCTGTATATTTGGAGTTTGCATGTCTCTCTCCCAGTGGTCGCGTGGATTACAGAAGCAGAATATTTATTTACACCGGAGGAATCCGATGAGCTATAAAGCTCTTTTTCACAGATGTCTATTTGGGGTGGGTAAGATTTTTCTGAGTGTCTTCCAGTTTTTTAACCTTCACATTTAGAATCAACATCATGCGTTTAGAGTTTTTTGCTGCTATAGATTTCCTCGCGATAAGACAATTGATTGAGCTATCATTTTTGGACAGGATTCTACTTAAAAAGAACTATATAGCTCAGTGGGCCTTACCTGGTCAAACTAAATAATATCTTAATTTTAGCTCAACTTGCAGTCGTGGAGTGAGGGTCTGGGTGTGTCTGTGTCTCGGTGTAGGCGTGTGGGGGTCTGGGTGTCTCTCTCTCTTGGTGTAGGCATGAGGGGTTTGGATGTTTATGTGTCTTGGTATAGGCCTAGGGCGTTTGAGTGTCTTCATGTTTCAATGTAGGCGTGAGGGGTCTGGTTGTCTCCGAGTCTCGTTGTAGGCAACGTGGGTCTGGGGATCTCATTCTCTTGGTGTAGGCCTAGGGTGTCTAGGTATCTCCTTTCCTAGGTGTTGGCGTGCAGGGTCTGGGTGTATCCGTGTCTCGGTGTAGGTCTAGGCGTTCTGGGTATCTCCATGTCTTGGTGTAGGCTTCGGGGTGTCTGGGTGTCTCCATGTCACGATGTAGGCGTGCGGGGGTCTGGGTGTCTCCGTGTCTCGGTGTAGGCATGCAGGGTCTGGGTGTCTCCGTGTATTTGTGAATGCCTAGGGGGTCTGAGTCTCTCTGTGTCTCAGTGTAGGCATGTGGTGGTCTCTGTATCTCAGTGTAGGCATGATGGGTCTGGGTGTCTCCGTGTCTCGGTGTAGGCATGTGGGGTCTGCGTGTCTCCATGTCTCAGTGTAGGCGTGAGGGGTCTGGGTGTCTCCGTGTCTCAGTGTAGGCGTAGGGGTGTCTGGGTGTCTCCATGTCTCGGTGTAGGCGTGCGGGGGTCTGGGTGGCTCTGTCTACGTGTAGGCAGTGGGGAGTCTGGATGTCTCTGTGTCTACGTGTAGGCAGTGGGGAGTCTGGGTGGCTCTGTGTCTACGTGTAGGCAGTGGGGAGTCTGGGTGTCTCCGTGTCTTGGTGAAGGCCAAGGGGGTCTGGGTTTCTCCATGTCTCAGTGTAGGCATGCATATTCTGTGTGTCTCCTTGTCTCAGTGTAAGCGTGCAGGGTCCTCCGTGTCTTGGTATAGGGATGCAGGGGTCTGCGTGTATCTGTGTCTTTGTGTAGGCCTAGGGGATCTGTGTGTCGCCGTGTCTTGGTTTAGGCATGCGGGGGTCTCCGTGTCTCGCTGTAGGCATGCGGGGGTCTGTGTGTCTCTGTCTCGGTGTAGACGTGCGTGTTTGGGTGTCTCCATGTTGCTGTGTAGGCGTCCGGGGTCTGGGTTTCTCTGTGTCTCAGTATAGGCATGCGGGGGTCTGGGTTTCTCAGTGTCTCTGAGCAGGCATGTAGGGTCTCGGTATCTCCATGTGACATTGTAGTTGTGCGGGGGTCTGGGTGTCTCTGTGGCTCCGTGTAGGCAGTGGGGGACTGGGTGTCCCCGTGTCTCGGTGTAAGCCTAGGGTGTCTGGGTGTCTCCATGTCTCAGTGTAGGTGTGCAGGGGCCTCCATGTCTCGGTGTATGCATTGGGTGCTCTGGGTGTCTCTGTGTCTTGGTGTAGGCATTGGAGTCTACGTGTCTCCGTGTCTCTAATTAGGCGTGCAGGGTCTGGGTGTCTCCATGTCGCGGTGTGGGTGTGCGGGGGTCTGGGTGTCTCCACGTATTGGTGTAGGCATGTAGGGGTCTGGGTGTCTCTCTGTCTTGGTGTAGGCGTGAGGGGTCTGGGTGTTTGGTGTAGGCCTAGGGCATTTGGGTGTCTCCATGTTTCGGTATAGGCATGATGGGTCTGGGTGTCTCCATGTATTGGTGTAGTAATGCGGCGGTCTCTAGGTCTCGGTGTAGGCGGCCGAGTTCTGGGTCTTTCCGTCTCGGTTTAGGCGTATGGGGTCTGGTTGTCTCCGTGTTTCTGTGTGGGCGTGAGGGGTCTCGGTTGTTTCCATGTCTCGTTGTAGGCAACGTGGTTCTGGGGGTCTCATTATCTTGGTGTAGGCATAGAGAGTCTGGGTGTCTCCTTTTCTCGATGTAGGTGTGCAGGGTCTGGGTGTATCCGTGTCTCACTGTAGGAATGGGGGTCTCCGTGTCTCGGTGTAGGTCTAGGCGTTCTGGGTATCTCCATGTCTTGGTGTAGGCTTGGGGGTGTCTGGGTGTCTCCTTGTCTCAATGTAGGCATGCGCGGGTCTGGGTGTCTCTGTGTCTTGGTAAAGGCCCAGGGGGTCTGAGTGTCTCTGTGTCTCAGTGTAGGCATGCGGTGGTGTCCGTGTCTCGGTGTAGGTCTGCGGGATCTGTGTGTTCCCATGTCTTGGTTTAGGTCTGAGGGGTCTAGATGTCTCCGTGTCTCTTTGAAGACATGTGTGGGTCTTGGTGTCTCGTTGTCTTTGTGTAGGCTTATGGGGTCTGGATGCCTCCATGTCTCGGTGTAGGCGTGCGGGAATCTGGGTGTCTCTGTGTCTCGGTGTAGGCATGAGGTGTCCGGGTGTCTCCGTGCTTTGTAGGCCTTTAGGGTCTGGATGTCTCCATGTCTCAGTATAGGTGTGGGAGGGTCTCCGTGTCTCAGTGTAGGCGTCCAGGTTTTGGTTGTTCATGCGTCTCAGTTTAGGCGTCAAGGTTCTGGGTGTTTCCGTGTCACAGTGTATGCAAGCGGGGTCTGGGTGCCTCTGTTTCTCTCTGTAGGCATACAGGGACTTGGTGTCTCCGCGTCTCGGTGTAGGCTTGGGGGGTCTCGAGGTCTACTTGTCTTGGTGTAGGCGTAGGGGTCAGGGTGTCTCCGTCTCTCAGTATAGGTGTGTGGGGGTCTCCGTGCCTCGACGTGGGCGTGCGGGGGGTCTGCGTGTCTCCATGTCTCTGTGTAGGTGTATGGGATCTGCGTGTCTCCATGTCTAGGTGTAGGCATGTGCAGGTTTATGTGTTTCTGTGTAGGCGTGCAGGTTCTGGGTGTTCCCGTGGGTGTCTCCATGTAATGGTGTAGGCATGCAGAGGTGGGAGTGTCTCCGTGTCTCAGTGTAGTCATGTGGGTATGGGTATCTCCGCTTCTCGTGTTGACATTTGGAGTCTGGGTATCTCCGTGTTAGAGTGTAGGACTAGGGGTCTGGCTATCTCCATGTCTTGGTGTAGATGTGCGAATTCTGGGTTTCCCATGTCTCGGTTTAGGCGTGCAGGGTCTGGGTTTCTCCCGTGTTTCCGTGTAGGCGTCAGGGGTCTGGGTGTCTCCGTATCTCATTGTATGCAGCGTGAGTCTGGGGGTCTCCTTCTCTTTGTGTAGGCCTAGGGGTTCTGGGTGTCTCCTTGTCTCAGTGTAGGCCTGCAGGGTCTTGGTGTCTCCATGTCTCGGTGTCGGCAAGCGGGTTCTGTGTGTTCCCATGTTTCGGTTTAAGCCTGAGGGGTCTAGATGTCTCCGTGTCTCTGCGAAGATGGATGTCTCCATGTCTCGGTTTAGGTGTGGGGGGGTCTCCGTGTCTCAGTGTAGGCGTCCAGGTTTTGGTTGTTCCTGTGTCTCGGTTTAGGCATGATCGGTCTGGGTGTCTCCGTGTCTCGGTGTAGGCTAGCGGGGTCTGGGTGTCTCCGTGTCTCGGGGTAGGCGTGAGGGGTCTGGGTTTTTCCGTGTCTCGGTGTAGGCATGTGGGGTCTGGGTGTTTCTGTGTCGCAGTGTCGGCGTGGGGGGGTCTGGGTGTCTCCAAGTCTCGGTGTAAGCGTGCGGGGGTCTGGGTGTCTCTGTGTCTCCATTTAGGCAGTGGGGGGTCTGGGTGTCTCCGCATCTCGGTGAAGGCCTAGGGGGTCTGGATGTCTCCATGTCTCGGTGTAGGCCTAGGGGGTCTGGATGTCTCCATGTCTCGGTGTAGGTGTGAGAGGTCTGGGTGTCTCCGTGTCTCGGTGTAGGCCTAGCGTGTCTAAGTGTCTCCACGTCTCAGTGTAGGTGTGCAGGGGCCTCCGTGTCTCGATGTATGCATTGGGTGCTCTGGGTGTCTCTGTGTCTTGGTGTAGGCATTGGAGTCTACGTGTCTCCATGTCTCTAATTAGGCGTGCAGGGTCTGGGTGTCTCCATGTCGCGGTGTGGGTGTGTGGGGGTCTGGGTGTCTCCACGTCTCTGTGTAGGCATATGGGGTCTAGGGTGTCTCTCGGTCTTGGTGTAGGCGTGAGGGGTCTGGGTGTTTGGTGTAGGCCTAGGGAATTTGGGTATCTCCATGTTTCGGTATAGGCATCATGGGTCTGGGTGTCTCCATGCATCGGTGTAGTAATGCGGCGGTCTCTGGGTCTTGGTGTAGGCGGCCGAGTTCTGGGTCTTTACGTGTCTCGGTTTAGGCTTATGGGGTCTGGTTGTTTCCGTGTTTCTGTGTGGGCGTGAGGGATCTCGGTGTCTCCGTGTCTCAGTTATGGGGGGTCTGGATGTCTCCTAGTCTTAGTGTAGGCTTAGGGAGTCTAGGTGTCTCAGTGTCTCAGTGTCGGGGGGTCTGGGTGTCTGCATGTCTATGTGTAGGCATGCAGGGATTTCTGTTTTTGTGTTGGTGTGCGGGTTCTGGGTGTTTCCGTGTCTCGGTGTAGGCATGAGGCGTCTGGGTGTCTCTGTGTCTTGCTATAGGTGTATGGAGGTCTGGGAGTTTCCATGTCTATGTGTATGTGTGCCAGGTCTGAGTGTCTGTGTCTCATTCTAGATATACAGCGGTCTGGGTGTCTCCATGTCTGTGTGTAGGCGTGCGGGGGTTTTTGTGTTTTCGTGTTGGTGTGTGGGTTCTGGGTGTTCCCGTATTTCGTTGTAGGCATGAGGCGTCTGGGTGTCTCCGTGTCTTGCTATAGGCACGCGGTGGTCTGGGTGTTTCCATGTCTCTATGTATGCGTGCCAGGTCTGGGTGTCTCCGTGTCTCGGTGTAGGTGTGCAGCGGTCTGGGTCTCTCCATGTCTACGTGTAGGCCTAGGGGCTCTGGGTGTCTCCATGTTTAGGTGTAGGGGTGCGGGAGTCTCCCATGTTTCAGTGTAGGTGTGTGGGTTCTAAGGGTTCCCTTTGTCTCGGTTTAGGCGTGCAGCGGTCTGGGTGTCTAATGTCTACGTGTAGGCATGCGGGGGTTTCCGTGTTTTGGTGTTGGTGAGCGGGTTGTGCGTGTTCCCGTGTCTCGATGTAGGCATGAGGGGTCTGAATGTCTCCGTGTCTCCGTGTTGGTGGGTCTGGGTTTCTCTGTGTCTTGGTGCAGTCCTCGGTGCTCTGGGTGTCTCCATGTCTACGTGTAGGCATTCTGGGGTTTCCGTGCTTCTGTCTAGGCATGCGGGGGTCTGGGTGTCTCCATTTCTTGGGGTAGACCTAGAGGCCCTGGGTGTCTCCATGTCTAGGTGTAGTCGTGCGGAGGTTTCCATGTTTTGGTGCAGGCCTAGGGGGTCCGGGTGTCTCCGTGTCTCCGTGTAGGCATCTAGGTTCTGGGTGTCTCCATGTCTCGGTGTAGGCAAGCGGGGGTCTGGGTGTCTCCATGTGTTGGTGTAGGCCTAGGGGCTCTCGGCGTCTCCGTGTCTTGGTCTAGGCCTAGGGGGTCAGGGTGTCTGCCATGTCTCGGTGTCGGGGGGTCTTGGTGTTTCAGTGTCTTGGTGTAGGCACGAGGGGTCCGGGTGTCTCCGTGTCTCCATGTCTCAGTGTCGGCTTGGAGGGGTCTGGGTGTCTCAGTGTGGGCATGCAAGGAGACTGGGTGTCTCCATGTCTCTGTTTAGGCGTGCGGGTTCATGATGTGTCCGTGTCTCAGTGTAGGCATGCAGGGGTCTGGGTGTCTCCATGTCTCGGTGTACGCGTGCGGGGGTCTTGATGTCTCCATGTCTCAGTGTAGGCTTCAGGGGTCTGGGTGTCTCCATGTCTCAGTGTAGGCTTCAGGGGTCTGGGTGTCTCCATGTCTTGGTGTACGCGTGCGGGGTCTTGATGTCTCCATGTCTCAGTGTAGGCTTCAGGGGTCTGGGTGTCTCCATGTCTCATGGTAGGCTTCAGGGGTCTGGGTGTCTCCATGTCTTGGTGTACGCGTGTGGAGGTCTCCATGTCTCGATGTAGGGCTGTGGGATCTGAGTGTCTCTATCTCTCTATTTTGGCGTATGGGGTCTGGATGTCTCCGTGTCTCGGTGTAGACGTGCTTGGATCTGTGGGTCTCCATGACTTGATGTAGGCATACGGTGGTCTGGGTGTCTCCCTGTCTTGGTGTTGGCATGAGGGTTTACGGTTTCTCCGTATCTTGGTGTTGGCTTGTGGGGGTTTTTGGTTTCACCATGTCTGAGTGTAGGCGTGCGGGGGGTCTCCGTGTCTCGGTGCAGGTGTGCGGGTGTCTAGGTGTCTCCGTCTCTCGGTGTAGGTGTTGGCGATTCTGGGTGCCTCCATGTCTTGGTGTAGGCATGTTGGGGGGGTCTGGGTGTCTCTGTGTCTCCGTGTAGGCATGTTGCGGGGATCTGGATGTCTCCGTGTCTCCGTGTAGGCGTGGGCTACACGGTGATCCTCATCGCGCTCTACGTCGGCTTCTACTACAACGTGATCATCGCATGGTCGCTGCACTACCTCTTCTCGTCGTTCACGGGCGACCTGCCGTGGACTCACTGCAATAACTCCTGGAACACGCCCAACTGCACCGAGTACCACTCACCCAGCTCCACCCGGCCCCCCCGCGGCCTCCACACAAAGTACGCCAAGTACAAGAGCACGCCATCAGCCGAGTACTACGAGTGAGTAAGAGCCCCCGCCCCCCCCTGCCCCCCCTGCCCCCCCTGCCCCCCTCTCTTTCCCCGACACCCCCTAGAATATAAAACAAACAAATATCCCCTGTGTAGCCTTCAGCAGACCGTTGGGACAATTGCTCATTTTAGCGAGCGCGTATGCAGGTCGGCACAGCACACGAGGGTGGTCACGAGGTCAGCACCACACAAAGATAAAGATTCCCCGCGTAGCCTTCAGCAGATTGTCGTTTGGGGTGGGGGAGGTGTGGGGGTAGCCCGGGCACACGCTATGAACCCTCCGGCAGAGAGAGAACCGAGTTTGATTCCTGCTCGAGGCCCCACCAACGGGCCAAATTGACGATTACCTGAACCCGGACCTGCGCCTCATACCTAGGTCGACTCTCGCCTTGAACCAAGCGACGTGTGAATGTAAGCTGATGGACAAGAAAAAGTGCTGTCAGATATTCGTCGCTGGTGTTGGCCTCGAGCGGGAATCCAGTCAACTGCTTGAGTGGCAACGATTTTCCCGGTTTTCAAGATCGCTCTGCCCCCAAACCTCTTGCCGTGGGCCACGAAGCGCACCTAGCCTGGCACATGCTCCGGGGTGCCGTCACCGCCACTTGTTGGCGAATGGCGACCACTGTTATCGCATTAAAAACTATAAAACTACGTATTCATTTTACCAGGTAAGGCCCCCTGACCTGTATAGCTCTTATTCAGAAGCGACCTGGCCACAAATGATAACTCAACGCAGTGGCTTATCTCGTGGAAATGTATAGAAGCCGAATACTCTAAACGTGTGATGTTCATTCTAATTGTGGAGGGAAAAACTGGAGGACTTGGAGAAATTATCCACGCGACCACGGGGAGAGAGACACGTAAACTCCAAATTTTCAGGCGTCAGGGTTGGGATGAATCCCACGATCTCCTGTATACCTGCGAGGTAGTTAACATCTCGCCAACGTGGCTAACGCTATGGCATCGGCCTTGCAGTAATCAGGGTGCTCGCTATGCTCACACACAGCACTTGGCCCAACAGTTTTATTATAATCTTATTATTATAGTCTCATTATAGTCTTATTATAGTCTCATTATAGTCTTACTATTATAGTCTCATTATAGTCTTATTATTGTCTCATTATAGTCTTATTATAGTCTCATTATAGTCTTATTATAGTCTCATTATAGTCTTATTATAGTCTCAGTATAGTCTTATTATTATAGTCTCATAGTCTTATTATTATAGTCTCATAGTCTTATTATTATAGTCTCATTATAGTCTTATTATTATAGTGTCATTATAGTCTTATTATTATAGTCTCATTATAGTATTATTATAGTTCTCATTATAGTCTATTATGATAGTCTTTTAGTCTTATTATAGTCTCATTTATAGTCTTATTATTATATAGTACTCGTTATAGTCTTATTATAGTCTTATTATTATTAGTCTCATTATAGTCTTATATTAGTCATCGGATTCCTGCAGGATGAATAAACATTTTGATTCTGATCAGTCAACCTCTTGGCACCTTAGTCTATCCCATGATCTCCTGCACCTAGCCTGGCACCATTAGTCAACCTCTTGGCACCTCGGTGTGTCCACCATGGGCTCCTGCACCCTAGCCTGGCACCATCAGTCAACTCTTGGCACCTGGGTCTGACCCATGAGCTCCTGCACCTGACTAATCGATATCTACATGCCGATAGTTCAATTTGTATGTGAAATGTTATTGAGCGGCTGTGTGTTGTCTTGGTGTGGTGTTGTGGTTGATGTTTTGTTACAGAAATGTATGTACTTATGCAATTTGTACCGATGTATAATTGTAATTTATTTATTTATCTCCACTTCGTTACCTTTAACTCCGTTGGACATCTGCAAACAAAAGCTTCATCGGTTCATCCGATTCTGTTCAATATATAATCTATGTTTATCTTACCGGGTAAGGTCCACTGAGCTGCTGTTTAGCTCTTTTTCAGAAGCGACCTGGCTTTCACAAATGATAAGCTCAACGAAGTGGACTGATCACCGACACGTGGAAGTTCACAGCAGGCCAAATACTCTGAGCGCGTGACGTCGTTGATTCTAAATGTGGACGGAAAAACCGGAGGACACGGGGAAAATCCACACCACCACGGGGAGAAAGAGAGAGAGGGAGAGGGAGACACTCCAGGGGTCACGATAGAACCCACGGCCCTTCGGTCTAAATACAAATTCTGAGCTTAAAGGCTCTGCGTGGCACACGTGAGGAAGGTGGGGGGGGGGGGGTAGGGGGGGGCGGCTGCCATCATCCTCGTCGTCTTTATTCGCGTTGCAGGAGAGGAGTGCTGCACCTGCAGGACAGCAGCGGCCTCAACAACCTGGGACTTCCTCGCTGGCAGCTCACCATCTGCCTCTTCGTGGTGCTGCTCATCCTCTACTTCAGCCTCTGGAAGGGTATCCGGACATCGGGCAAGGCGAGAGCTCGGAGCGTGTCGACGCCGGCGCGACCAATAACCGGGCCATTAATTAATTCTGAGCAATTAATGCCTGCGGGTGTACGTACGTATGTTTGGCTGGACGCATATTGGAGGGAGGACAGCAAAGATGTGGCAACTACTTGAGCATGTTGGCACAAGACAGAGATGAAAGTGGAAACAACAAATGACGAAATGTGCAGTGGACACCTACGGGACTATCTGCCCGTGGATGGTGATGATGATGTATGCCGAACATTCTTCGCACTGTACGTAGCCAGCCATGCTAATTGGAGGTGCGGGTAAATAACTCCGTAGGAGTATGAGAAAGTCTATGGGTCTCTTTGTAGGTTTGTGAGTCTCTGAAGTCCATGGGTCTCTATGTAAGTCTATGGGTGTCTATGTAAATCTATGGATCTCTCTGTAAGCCGGTGGGTCCCTATGCAAGTCTATGGGTTTCTCTGTAAGTCTCTTAGTCTGTCAAGTCCATGGGTCTCTATGTAAGTATATGGGTCCCTTTATAAGACTATGGGTCTCTCTGTAAGTCGGTGGGTCTCTATGTATGGTCATGTGGTTGTGGTGTGTTTGTGGTGGTAGTTGTTGTGTGGCGGTGGTGGTCTTGATGGTGTTTTAGTGGTGGTTGTGTGGTTGTGGTGGTAGTTGTGGTGTGATAGGTAGTGGTCTTGATGGTGTTTTAGTGGTGGTTGTGTGGTTGTTGTGGTGGTTGTGGTGTGGTAGGTGGTGGTCTTGATGGTGTTTTAGTGGTGGTTGTGGTGGTTGTGGTGGTTGTGGTGGTGGTGGTGTGTTTGTGGTGGTAGTTGTGGTGGTGGTGGTGGTCTTGACGGTGTTTTAGTGGTGGTTGTGTGGTTGTGGTGGTAGTTGTTGTGTGGCGGTAGTTGTTGTGTGGCGGTGGTGGTCTTGACGGTGTTTTAGTGGTGGTTGTGTGTTTGTGGTGGTAGTTGTTGTGTGGCGGTGGTGGTCTTGATGGTGTTTTAGTGGTAGTTGTGGTGGTTGTGGTGGTGGTGTGTTGGTGGTGGTAGTTATTCTAAACAACTTAAGATCCAGGTCCGGTTCAATACAGTACACAAAATTCGTGATCTGATCCCATCCGTGAAGGATGTCATTCCTGACTTACAGTACCCCGGGGTTTACAAATTGAGGTGTACCTGCGGACATTGCTATATTGGGGAGACAAAGCGACATGTCTCTGACCGAATTCGCGAGCACAAATCAGATTTGAAACACGGCAGAACGAATTCTTCTGCCGTAGCTGATCACTGTTACAACGCTGTGGGTGATCACGATATAATTTTCTCCGATACCAAGGTTCTTTGCAAACCCACGGGTTTTTATCAGAGATTTGTTCACGAGGCAATTCAGATCTACAAACACAGACACAATTTCAACCGAGAAGATGGTTTCAAATTAAGCAACCATTGGAAAGATGTTCTAAATCGAAACAACCGTTAAACTAATTTCAATGGTACAGTATATTTTTCAAGTAGTGGTACCCCAAACTTTCGCAGCTCTTACAAATTCCCTTTTCACACCATCAATAGGTAAACTCCCCCTCCCCCCCTTGCCAACCGGCATGTTCACCCGCATGTACACCACCTCTACACAGTTCATCATGCTAAGTCGGCCAATCAAATTATATTTTTTATGCTAATTCCTTTGTCAAGGCACCTTATTTCCTCGCACACAGCTTAAAGGTCGCGGTCTGAGCGTGGCTGTGTTTCACTCCAGGGCTGTCCTCGAGACAGTCTGGTCCCTTCACCTGATGAAGGCCGCTTGTGTTGTGGCCGAAACGTCGTGATTTTTGTTGTTTTATTTTTTACCTACGTGACTTTACCGAATAGAACCAAAGAGTATGGATCCTTGCAGTCACGAAAGCTTTAAATCTAGAAGTGGTAGGTGGTGATCTTGACGATGTTTTAGTGGTGGTTGTGTGTTTGTGGTGGTGGTGTGTTTGTGGTGGTATTTGTGGTGGTCTTGACGGTGTTTTAGTGGTGGTTGTGTGGTTATGGTGTGTTTGTGGTGGTAGTTGTGGTGGTGGTGGTCTTGATGGTGTTTTAGTGGTGGTTGTTGTGGTTTTGGTGGTGGTGTGTTTGTGGTGGTAGTTGTGGTGGTGGTGGTCTTGACGGTGTTTTAGTGGTTGTGGTGTGTTTGTGGTGGTAGTTGTGGTGGTGGTGGTCTTGATGATGTTTTAGTGGTGGTTGTTGTGGTTGTGGTGTGTTTGTGGTGGTAGTTGTGGTGGTGGTGGTCTTGATGGTGTTTTAGTGGTGGTTGTGTGGTTGTGGTGGTGGTGTGTTTGTGGTGGTAGTTGTGGTGGTCTTGACGGTGTTTTAGTGGTGGTTGTGTGTTTGTGGTGGTGGTGTGTTTGTGGTGGTAGTTGTGGTGGTGGTGGTCTTGACGGTATTTTAGTGGTGGTTGTTGTGGTTGTGGTGGTGGTGTGTTTGTGGTGGTAGTTGTGGTGGTGGTGGTGTTGACGGTGTTTTAGTGGTGGTTGTGGTGGTGGTGTGTTTGTGGTGGTAGTTGTGGTGGTGGTGGTCTTGACGGTGTTTTAGTGGTTGTGGTGTGTTTGTGGTGGTAGTTGTGGTGGTGGTGGTCTTGATGATGTTTTAGTGGTGGTTGTTGTGGTGGTGTGTTTGTGGTGGTGGTCTTGACGGTGTTTTAGCGGTGGTTGTTGTGGTTGTGGTGGTGGTGTGTTTGTGGTGGTAGTTGTGGTGGTCTTGACGGTGTTTTAGTGGTGGTTGTGTGTTTGTGGGCCCCAGGTGGTGTGGATCACGGCCACGATGCCGTACGTAGTGCTCACCGTACTGCTGGTGCGTGGCGTCACGCTGCCCGGAGCCATGGACGGCATCTACGAGTACCTCAACGTGGACTTGCGCCGCCTTCGTCAGCTCTCGGTGGGCTGCTTCCCGGCACACCACGTCCAGTATACATCTCACTATGCCCCTGGCTACTTATTCACCTGCCGCCTCTACTCCCATCCACGCACTCTCCTGCCTCTCCCCTCTCATCTCACTCTACTCCCCTCTACGCTAAAACCTGAACTGACCATCGTGGTGAAGTATAGTCAAAACAACCTCCCATATTGACACAGCATGGGGAAGCCTTCATCTTGCTAGATTGGCACTGTTGGTTTATTTTGATTCCACCGCACCTCCGTTTAGCACGGTTGGCACGTACACATATACACACGTTGTCAACCAACGCCTTTAGTCGAATCCTCCAGTCAACCTTCGCTCAATGGGAGGTCGCTCATTCTCCTCTGCTGCCCCCATGGTCTGGAGCTCCCTTCCCCTAGCCGTCCGTGCTGTTGACTCCCCCTATTCAAGTCCAGGCTCCAGACCTTCCTCTACCCCACTCTGTCTCTAACCTTCCAAACATGAATCGTGAAGTCTCACGCAGTGGCGAATTCAATCGGCCAAACATCCCAGTGTAGCAGGACCCTCCTGCAAGACAGTCTTGAGACTCGGTGACACTTTACCAGGATGCGAATCAGTATTATTGTTGTTATGATAAAAGTGTAAAACTTTACGTATTTGAACTGTGGGGGGGGGGGGGGGGGGGGGGGGGTGATTGCAGCGAGGCGTGAGCTACAAATGTTCGTTGTAATTCATCCACAACTTGTGAATGGCATTATTATTATTATTACCCTGAATCCACATCAAGCGTGCGGACGGTCGAACAACGCAAGCGAACTCCCCCTTAGTCGACCGCGGTATTCCCCCACGGTATTTTGCGCTCCGACCTCGCACCCTGCCGGAATCAGCATCGTCACCCCCACTTCTCCCCAGTAGCCGTGTGGCGGCATCTGCAAACGGTAACGGCGTGGGCGCTAAAAAAAACCCAGCCGCGCTCCGTTTGGCGGTGCGCCCTCTGTTTGCACGGCACAAGCCGAGTGCTATCTTAGGTCGCGATCGTTCCGTCCCTTCTTGTAAATCCTCAGCTAACCTTTCGTCTCGTTTTTTTTTTAATCCTTCCCCGCGCTCGCTTACTCACTTGCTCTCGCTCCACTCTCCCCCCTCTAACCCCCGAACGCACCCCGACCACCGCTCCGCGTCGCAGTCGTCCAAGCGGAGGCTTGCGGCTTCTTGCGCTTTGTTTGCTTGGTTACTCACAGTGCCTTACATGAACCGCAACACCTCGCTGATCTCGTCAAGGAGCGTAAAAACAATCATTGAGCAAACTCTGGTCATCCTCACAGCAGCAGCAGCAGCAGCGGCGGCTTTTTGGCAAAACCATCGAACGAAGAGGGTCGCTGCATCACGCGTGCTTTCAGATGCGCTTCTGCGGCTTGTCTGGAACGCTCTTCCTTCCGATATCAATATCAGGGCTTTTTCATATCAGGGCTCTACGACACTTTTGGCCACTATTGAGTCGTGATGTAGCCAGCAAGGTGGCGTGTAACTAGAGTATCGACAAGGCTCGATTACAACAACTCACTACTCTACGGGACGTCTGGCAAAAAAACATTAGCAAGCTGCGGCGTGTACAACATTCTCTGGCACGTGTCGTGATGGGTACTGCAAGATCCGGCCATGTCCGTCTGGTAGTCGCTGAGCTGCCATTGGCTTCCAGTTGCTGAACGAACACATTATAAGGTCGCGCTCATCACACACAAAGTGCTTGCCACAAATGAACCACAATACTTTGCTGATCTCGTCAACGAGTATGGACCATCATCACACAAACTCCGCTCATTCTCGCGGCAGCAGCAGCGGCTTTTGGCTTGCCATCGAACAAAGACGGTGGTGACCGCATCGCGTGGTGCTTTCAGATGCAATTCTGCGGCCGTCTGGAATGCTCTTCCGTCCTATATTAGGAAGCCACTGGAGCTATGCACTTTTGAATCATCTAGATTGACAAACTAATTTCTTTAAAACTGCTTTTTGTGCTTTTTTTGTTGTCGTTCCTACCGCACCTCCAATTAGCAAGGTTGGTTGGCTACGTACGGTCCGAAAGAAGTAAACACATACCATATCGAATAATTGATTGTAATAAATCTAATACATATTGACCTATGGCCATTTCTTTCTTCTACTTCCTGTTTACCTGTGGGGGGGGGGGGGCGTGGTGATGACGTCACAGAACCTATGTAACGCCGAGCACCTGCGGAGGCTTTCACAGTTCTGGCAATCGTCTGATGAAGACGCTGGTGGCGGATTCCAGCGAAGCGTCCGCACACAATAGATACGCCCTTTGGATTGCTCTTCTACACACACACCACACCGCTCACCACGGCTCACCCCACTCCTTACCACAGCTCACCACCCACTCCTCATCACACGTCACCCGACTCACCAGAGCTCACCTCACTCCTCACCACACCTCACCCTACTGCACCCCACATCTCACCCTCTTTCCCGTGCCTGTCGCCTCCCAGGTGTGGATCGACGCCGCCACTCAGATTTTCTTCTCTCTGGGCGCCGGCTTCGGGGTCCTCATCGCGTTCTCCAGCTACAACAAGTTCAACAACAACTGCTACAAGTGAGGTCTTCTTCGTCTTCTTCTTCGGTATGGATTAACAACGGCAGATTGAAGATGTAATTTTAGATTCGTTATCCACTCAATGGTTCAGAAGCAGTGCCTGGATCTCGTTCCGTCTTCGCTTCTTCAAAGGAGCGAAGACAGCGGCAGCGGCGGTGGCGGCGGTGGTGGTGGTGGTGGAGTGGTGGTGGTGGAGTGTTCACGATGACGTGGAGTGTTCACGATGACGTGGAGTGTTCACGGTGACGTGGAGTGTTCACGATGCCGTGGAGTGTTCACGATGCCGTGGAGTGTTCACGATGACGTGGAGTGTTCACGATGCCGTGGAGTGTTCACGATGACGTGGAGTGTTCACGATGCCGTGGAGTGTTCACGATGCCGTGGAGTGTTCACGATGACGTGGAGTGTTCACGATGGCGTGGAGTGTTCACGATGACGTGGAGTGTTCACGATGCCGTGGAGTGTTCACGATGACGTGGAGTGTTCACGATACCGTGGAGTGTTCACGGTGACGCGGAGTGTTCACGGTGACGTGGAGTGTTCACGGTGACGCGGAGTGTTCACGGTGATGTGGAATGTTCACTGTGACGTGGAGCGTTCACGATGACGTGGAGTGTTCACGGTGACGTGGAGCGTTCACGGTGACGCGGAGCGTTCACGATGCCGCGGAGGGTTCACGGTGACGCGGAGCGTTCACGGTGACGCGGAGCGTTCACGGTGACGCGGAGCGTTCACGGTGACGCGGAGCGTTCACGGTGACGTGAAGTGTTCACGATGCCGTGGAGTGTTCACGATGACGTGGAGTGTTCACGGTGACGTGAAGTGTTCACGATGACGTGGAGTGTTCACGGTGACGTGAAGCGTTCACGATGCCGTGGAGCGTTCACGGTGACGCGGAGCGTTCACGGTGACGCGGAGCGTTCACGGTGACGCGGAGCGTTCACGGTGACGCGGAGCGTTCACGGTGACGCGGAGTGTTCACGGTGACGCGGAGTGTTCACGGTGACGCGGAGTGTTCACGGTGACGCGGAGTGTTCACGGTGACGTGATTATGGTGTTGATGGTGAAAGTGGTGGTGTTGATGGTAGGAGTGGTTTGTGTTGATGGTAGGAGTGGTGGTGATGACGATGATGGTAAGAGTGATGGTGTTGATGGTAGGAGTGGTGGTGTTGATGATAAGAGTGACGGTGTTGATGGTAGGAGTGGTGGTGTTGATGATAAGAGTGGCGGTTTTGATGGTAGGAGTGGTGGTGTTGATGGTGTTGATGGTAGGAGTGGTGGCGGTGTCGACGATGATGATGGGAGCACCGATGTCTGCGTATGCTTCACTGCCCTGGCAGGGACGCCCTCATCACGAGCTCCATCAACTGCGTAACGAGTTTCTTCTCCGGCTTCGTCATCTTCTCGCTGCTCGGCTACATGGCCAAGAAGCACGACGTGCCAATAGACGACGTGGCTACAGACGGTCGGTACCTCATCTCTGTGTGTGTCCGTATGTGCCTGTCTGTGTGGTGTAGCGGTTCGCGCTACACCACACATGTGTTACGAACCCGGCGACCCGAGTTCGATTCCCGCTCACGGCCAACACCGGTGATGATTATCTGAACCTGTCCAGGGCCTACCCTAGGTCGACTCAGTCTCAAATTAGTACCTGGTGCGGTGTGTAAACATGGCCACTAGGGAGACGAAGGCGGCCGGGCGTGGTGCTCGCCACCCACCCCCTCGTGTGCCATGCCGGCCTTCATAGGTGCTCGCTAACGGCGCTTGCCCCAACAGTGTAAGGCTATACGGGGGATCTTTGTCTTGTGTGTCTGTCTGTGTACATGTCTGTGTGTGTATATGCCTATGTGTGTCATTTTCTGTGTGTGTGTCTGTGTGTGTGTGTGTCACTGCATGTGTGTCTTTGTGCGTCCGTGTCTGAGCGGTAGCGTTGCGGTTAGTGCGCTGCGTTACGAGCCCAGCGACCCGAGTTCAATTTCAACCCATGGCCGCCACCAGTGGCGATTATCTGAACCGGTCTTGGGCACCCCCTCGGTCTCAGCACAGTCACCCCATGACGGCACAAACAAAAAACTGTCACAGGTGCTGCCCACTGGCGTGCCTGTGAATCAGAGGTCACTCGAACTCATCTCGGATGTGGCTTCGTGACATCCGCCTCCGCGCGTCGTTCACCGAACACGTCAGGACGTCGCACCGTCGTCTTCAGATGACGCGATGCTGACGGCGCGATCGGGGATTTACATTATTTGGTTAATTTAGTTTGTTTGTTTGACACAATGGTCAAACCGACGGCTGCTCGCCAACTGCGGGTTATTTGCTGCAGCTGATTCTGCTCTTTCAGCACTGAAAGTCTTATCAATGTGCATTCTGATGACCGAGAGGCCACTGAAAGACTTGCGACAATGTGACTGGAGTTCAGTATATTGGACTATACCTTGTTCAACTTGCGGTATACAATTGTTGTCGTCGCTACTGCAGATGCTGCCTCTGCGCGACCTGTCCGTGGGCAGTTGTGTGCATTAAACGTGGATGTATATGGATGGTCGGATGGATGGTGAGATTGATAAATAAATAGATGGATGGATGGGTAAATGGATGGATGGATTTATGGATAGATGGGCAGAAAATTTCTATGAAAGGAAAGATGTATGGATGGCTGGAGATAGGTGTAGATGGACAGATGGACATGCAGATGGATAGAGAGAGATAGACCCACAGACGAACAGATGGATGTTTGGACAGATCGATAGCTAGACAGATAGACAAACGGAGAGATAGACGGATGAATGGACAAATGGACTAACAGACACTCTTCGTGATGACACCATGGGAAAACGATGCTGCTGTTGCTGCTGCTGGTGTTGCTGCTGGTGCTGCTGCTGCTCGTGTTGCTGCTGTTTGTGTTGCTGCTGCTGATGCTGTTGGTGTTGCTGGTGCTGCAGGAGCTGGCCTCGTGTTCATCATCTACCCAGAGGCCATCGCCACCCTGCCCGGCGCCTCCATGTGGGCCATCATCTTCTTCATTATGCTGCTCACGCTGGGCATCGACAGCGCCGTGAGTAGTCGCCGTCGCTCGTCGTTGCACACCTCCGCCTCCGCGCCAAGCAGGCCACCGGAGGCGCCAGGGATGTCCGTCGGTCCACTGCAAGAAGCTAAGCTGCATTGAACTGCACCGAGATACACGGTCACGTCGCGATCACGTTGGCTGGCATCGCGCGTGATGAACCAGTGAAGGCACACGTCCCTCTCTCCATCCACATGTCCATCCATCTGTTCGTCTGTACACTGAGGGAAAAAGTATTTGATCCCCTGCTGATTTTGTACGTTTGCCCACTGACCAAGAAATGATCAGTCTATAATTCTAATGGTAGGTTTATTTGAACAGTGACAGACAGAATAACAACAAAAACATCCAAAAAAACGCATGTCAAAAATGTTATAAATTGATTTGCATTTTAATGAGGGAAATAAGTATTTGACCCCTCTGCAAAACATGACTTAGTACTTGGTGGCAAAACCCTTGTTTGGCAATCACAGAGGTCAGACGTTTCTTGTAGTTGGCCACCAGGTTTGCACACATCTCAGGAGGGATTTTGTCCCGCTCCTCTTTGCAGATCTTCTCCAAGTCATTAAGGTTTCGAGGCTGACGTTTGACAACTCTAACCTTCAGCTCCCTCCACAGATTTTCTATGGGATTAAGGTCTGGAGACTGGCTAGGCCACACCAGGACCTTAATGTGCTTCTTCTTGAGCCACTCCTTTGTTGACTTGGCCGTGTGTTTTGGGTCATTGTCATGCTGGAATACCCATCCACGACCCATTTTCAATGCCCTGGCTGAGGGAAGGAGGTTCTCACCCAAGATTTGACGGTACATGGCCCCCTACATCGTCCCTTTGATGCGGTGAAGTTGTCCTGTCCCCTTAGCAGAAAAACACCCCCAAAGCATAATGTTTCCACCTCCATGTTTGACGGTGGGGATGGTGTTCTTGGGGTCATAGGTAGCATTCCTCCTCCTCCAAACATGGCGAGTTAAGTTGATGCCAAAGAGCTCCATTTTGGTCTCATCTGACCACAATACTTTCACCCAGTTGTCCTCTGAATCATTCAGATGTTCATTGGCAAACTTCAGAGGGGCATGTATATGTGCTTTCTTGAGCAGGGGGACCTTGTGGGTGCTGTAGGATTTCAATCCTTCACGGCGTAGAGTGTTACCAATTGTTGTCTTGGTGACTATGGTCCCAGCTGCCTTGAGATAATTGACAAGATCCTCCCATGTAGTTCTGGGCTGATTCCTCACCGTTCTCATGATCATTGCAACTCCACGAGGTGAGATCTTGCATGGAGCCCCAGGCCGAGGGAGATTGACAGTTCTTTTGTGTTTCTTCCGTTTGCGAATAATCGCACCAACTGTTGTCACCTTCTCACCAAGCTGCTTGGCAATGGTCTTGTAGCCCATTCCAACCTTGTGTAGGTCTACAATCTTGTCCCTGACATCCTTGGAGAGCTCTTTGGCCTTGGCCATGGTGGAGAGTTTGGAATCTGATTGATTGATTGCTTCTGTGGACAGGTGTCTTTTATACAGGTAACAAGCTGAGATTAGGAGCACTCCCTTTAAGAGTGTGCTCCTAATCTCAGCTCGTTACCTGTATAAAAGACACCTGGGAGCCAGCAATCTTTCTGATTGAGAGGGGGTCAAATACTTATTTCCTTCATTAAAATACAAATCAATTTATAACATTTTTGACATGCGTTTTTCTGGATTTTTTTTATTGTTATTCTGTCTCTCATTGTTCAAATAAACCTACCATTAAAATTATAGACTGATCATTTCTTTATCAGTGGGCAAACGTACAAAATCAGCAGGGGATCAAATACTTTTTTCCCTCACTCTATGTATGATCATCGTTGGTCCATCCACGTATCTGTCCCGTGTCTCCACCCTGCCTGGTCGTCCATCCTTACATCCGTCCATCTCGTGGTCCGTCCATGTGCACATAACCCACTCTGTGTGTACGTAGTGACCCACTCTGTGTGTACGTAGTAACCCATCCGTGTGTACGTAGCGACCCACCCTGTGTGTACGTAGTAACCCACCCTGTGTGTACGTAGTAACCCACCCCGTGTGTACGTAGCGACCCACGCTGTGTGTACGTAGCGACCCACTCTGTGTGTACGTAGCGACCCACTCTGTGTGTACGTAGCGACCCACCCTGTGTGTACATAGCGACCCACTCTGTGTGTACATAGTGACCCACTCTGTGTGTACGTAGCGACCCACCCCGTGTGTAGGTAGTGACCCACCCTGTGTGTACGTAGTGACCCACTCTGTGTGTACGTAGCAACCCACCCTGTGTGTACGTAGCGACCCACCCCGTGTGTACGTAGTGACCCACTCTGTGTGTACGTAGTGACCCACCCTGTGTGTACGTAGCGACCCACTCTGTGTGTACGTAGTGACCCACCCTGTGTGTATGTAGCGACCCACCCTGTGTGTACGTAGCGACCCACCCCGTGTGTACGTAGCGACCCACCCTGTCTGTGCGTAGTGACCCACTCTGTGTGTACGTAGTGACCCACCCCGTGTGTATGTAGCGACCCTCCCTGTGTGTACGTAGTGACCCACCCTGTGTGTACGTAGTAACCCACCCCGTGTGTACGTAGCGACCCACCCCGTGTGTACGTAGTGACCCACCCCGTGTGTACGTAGCGACCCTCCCTGTGTGTATGTAGTGACCCACCCTGTGTGTACGTAGTAACCCACCCCGTGTGTACGTAGTGACCCACCCTGTGTGTACGTAGTGACCCACTCTGTGTGTACGTAGCAACCCACCCCGTGTGTACGTAGTAACCCACCCCGTGTGTACGTAGTGACCCACTCTGTGTGTACGTAGCGACCCACCCTGTGTGTACGTAGCGACCCACCCTGTGTGTACATAGCGACCCACTCTGTGTGTATGTAGTGACCCACCCCGTGTGTATGTAGCGACCCACCCCGTGTGTACATAGTAACCCACCCCGTGTGTACGTAGCAACCCACTCTGTGTGTACGTAGCGACCCACCCCGTGTGTACGTAGCGACCCACCCTGTGTGTACGTAGCGACCCACCCTGTGTGTACGTAGCGACCCACTCTGTGTGTACGTAGCGACCCACCCCGTGTGTACGTAGTGACCCACCCTGTGTGTACGTAGTGACCCACCCTGTGTGTACATAGCGATCCACCCTGTGTGTACGTAGCGACCCACCCTGTGTGTACGTAGTGACCCACCCTGTGTGTACGTAGCGACCCACCCTGTGTGTACGTAGCGACCCACTCTGTGTGTACGTAGTGACCCACCCCGTGTGTACGTAGCGACCCTCCCTGTGTGTACGTAGCGACCCACCCCGTGTGTACGTAGTAACCCACCCTGTGTGTACGTAGTAACCCACCCTGTGTGTACGTAGTAACCCACCCTGTGTGTACGTAGCGACCCACCCTGTGTGTACGTAGCGATCCACCCTGTGTGTACGTAGCGACCCACTCTGTGTGTACATAGTGACCCACCCTGTGTGTACGTAGTGACCCACCCTGTGTGTACGTAGTGACCCACTCTGTGTGTACGTAGTGACCCACCCCGTGTGTACGTAGCGACCCACCCTGTGTGTACGTAGTGACCCACCCTGTGTGTACGTAGTAACCCACTCTGTGTGTACGTAGTGACCCACCCTGTGTGTACATAGTGACCCACCCTGTGTGTACGTAGCGACCCACCCCGTGTGTACGTAGTAACCCACTCTGTGTGTACGTAGTGACCCACCCCGTGTGTACGTAGTAACCCACTCTGTGTGTACGTAGTGACCCACCCTGTGTGTACATAGTAACCCACTCTGTGTGTACGTAGCGACCCACCCCGTGTGTACGTAGTAACCCACTCTGTGTGTACGTAGTGACCCACCCCGTGTGTACGTAGTAACCCACTCTGTGTGTACGTAGTGACCCACCCTGTGTGTACATAGTGACCCACCCTGTGTGTACGTAGTGACCCACCGCGGGTGTACATAGTGACCCACCCTGTGTGTACGTAGCGACCCACTCTGTGTGTACGTAGTGACCCACCCCGTGTGTACGTAGTGACCCACCCTGTGTGTACGTAGTAACCCACTCTGTGTGTACGTAGCGACCCACCCTGTGTGTACGTAGTAACCCACCCTGTGTGTACGTAGCGACCCACCCTGTGTGTACGTAGTAACCCACCCTGTGTGTACGTAGTGACCCACCCTGTGTGTACGTAGCGACCCACTCTGTGTGTATGTAGTGACCCACCCTGTGTGTACGTAGCGACCCACCCCGTGTGTACGTAGCGACCCACCCTGTGTGTACATAACCCACCCCGTGTGTACGTAGTAACCCACCCCGTGTGTACGTAGCGACCCACCCTGTGTGTACGTAGCGACCCACCCTGTGTGTACGTAGTAACCCACCCCGTGTGTACGTAGCGACCCACCCTGTGTGTACATAACCCACCCTGTGTGTACGTAGTGACCCACTCTGTGTGTACGTAACGACCCACCCTGTGTGTACGTAGTAACCCACCCCGTGTGTACGTAGTAACCCACTCCGTGTGTACGTAGTGACCCACCCCGTGTGTACGTAGCGACCCACCCCGTGTGTACGTAGTAACCCACCCTGTGTGTATGTAGCGACCCACTCTGTGTGTACATAGTGACCCACCCTGTGTGTACGTCGTAACCCACCCCGTGTGTACGTAGTGACCCACTCTGTGTGTTCGTAGTAACCCACTCCGTGTGTACGTAGTGACCCACCCTGTGTGTACGTAGTGACCCACCCCGTGTGTACGTAGCGACCCACCTTGTGTGTACGTAGTGACCCACCCTGTGTGTACGTAGTGACCCACCCTGTGTGTACGTAGTGACCCACCCTGTGTGTACGTAGTGACCCACCCCGTGTGTACGTAGTAACCCACTCTGTGTGTACGTAGTGACCCACTCTGTGTGTACGTAGTGACCCACCCTGTGTGTACGTAGTGACCCACCCTGTGTGTACGTAGTAACCCACCCTGTGTGTACGTAGTGACCCACCCTGTGTGTACGTAGCGACCCACTCTGTGTGTATGTAGTGACCCACCCTGTGTGTACGTAGCGACCCACCCCGTGTGTACGTAGCGACCCACCCTGTGTGTACATAACCCACCCCGTGTGTACGTAGTAACCCACCCCGTGTGTACGTAGCGACCCACCCTGTGTGTACGTAGCGACCCACCCTGTGTGTACGTAGTAACCCACCCCGTGTGTACGTAGTGACCCACCCTGTGTGTACATAACCCACCCTGTGTGTACGTAGTGACCCACTCTGTGTGTACGTAACGACCCACCCTGTGTGTACGTAGTAACCCACCCCGTGTGTACGTAGTAACCCACTCCGTGTGTACGTAGTGACCCACCCCGTGTGTACGTAGCGACCCACCCCGTGTGTACGTAGTAACCCACCCTGTGTGTATGTAGCGACCCACTCTGTGTGTACATAGTGACCCACCCTGTGTGTACGTAGTAACCCACCCCGTGTGTACGTAGTGACCCACTCTGTGTGTACGTAGTAACCCACTCCATGTGTACGTAGTGACCCACCCTGTGTGTACGTAGTGACCCACCCCGTGTGTACGTAGCGACCCACCTTGTGTGTACGTAGTGACCCACCCTGTGTGTACGTAGTGACCCACCCTGTGTGTACGTAGTGACCCACCCTGTGTGTACGTAGTGACCCACCCCGTGTGTACGTAGTAACCCACTCTGTGTGTACGTAGTGACCCACTCTGTGTGTACGTAGTGACCCACTCTGTGTGTACGTAGCGACCCACCCCGTGTGTACGTAGTGACCCACCCCGTGTGTACGTAGTAACCCACTCCGTGTGTACGTAGTGACCCACCCTGTGTGTACGTAGTGACCCACCCCGTGTGTACGTAGCGACCCACCTTGTGTGTACGTAGTGACCCACCCTGTGTGTACGTAGCGACCCACCCCGTGTGTACGTTGTAACCCACTCTGTGTGTACGTAGTGACCCACCCCGTGTGTACGTAGTAACCCACTCTGTGTGTACG